CAGGGCGGCCGGCAGCCCCAGGCCAGGCTTTCTGCTGGCATGGCGTGGCAGGAGGAAGAAACTTCGACTATCCCTGCCAGATTAAACTCTGCCACATCCACTGCAGGCTGGGGAGGGGCACAGGGGAGAGACAGCAGCAGCGCATGGGGAGCAGCAGATGCTAAGTATCTGCCGGGAGGAGGGTAGCAGAGCGTGAGTGCACCTAAGGTGCAGGGGCGGGGGACAGCAGAGCCTGAGTCGGGGTCATCACAGTCGGCAGTTTCTAAATGCTGATGTCCAGGAGAGGCTCCTGAGCTCCGGTCACCCCTCCCCCTCCGAGCAGAAGCGGCCGCTGTAAACGCTGCTGCCTGCACACGTGGAGGAGGACGAGGCTGCAGGGCACCATAAGCCCCATGGGACAGGGGCCGTCCTGCGGTCTGGAGGTTGAGCGGGAAGCAGCCGCAGCAGGAGCTCTGCAGGGGGTGGGCGAGCAGAATATTTCTGTTCTTTCCACGGCACACTGCTGACTGCCTCGCTGCACACTGGTGTGCCATGGAACATTGTTTAAGAAATGCTGCTGCAGATGCTCATGCTGATCAAGATTTCCAGAAACACTCTCTTTAACCAGTCCTTGTTCAAGAACATTGTCTCCCCTCCTTTCCCCTTGCGTCTCTAACCCTGTAACGATGGAGAAGATGCCAGTGTTAGTCCCTCAAGTAACCCTTATCCACCTCACAACCAAGGCGGTGCAAGAACCATCAGAGGGAAGCACTTATTTCCCCAGCGTTCTTCCAGATCTGATGCACAGGAATCTGAGTGTCTCTTCCTTTGGCTATTCCTAGATTCAACCTCTCCAGGGGAGATTCCGCTCCGGCTGGCGAACAGCTCGAGTCGCTGTGCTGGGAGAGTCGAGGTGCTACACAACCAGCAGTGGGGGACCGTGTGCGATGACGACTGGGACTTAACCGATGCTGGAGTCGTGTGCAGGCAGCTGGGCTGTGGGACGGCGCTCTCAGCCCCAGGCGCGGCTCAGTTTGGACGAGGCTCTGAGCATATCTGGCTGGATAACGTTAACTGCAAGGGGACAGAAGCTGCCCTCTCCGAATGCACGGCACGGTCCTGGGGAGACCACAACTGTAACCACGGAGAAGATGCAAGTGCCGTGTGCGCAGGTAACCTCATCTATGTCACCTCCTACAGGGCACAACATTATGCTGCAGGGGATGGACGTTGGTTCTGTCACAGTTCAGGGTGGTCTCTCCAGTAGTCCCCATCTGTGTCCAGCAGGGGCCACCTAGGCAGGCTTCTGGCTCCTGAGCAATTGCTGCTCCTTTGTGGAGATGCCTGTATCTCTCCCTCCTGGCTGGGCTATTTTCATGTCACAAGGCCTCTCTCCCCCATGTACACCATGATTTCCACCACCAAAGGAGACTGGCTCGTTAGGCTAGCCTCCGTCTCTGCAGACACTGATTGCAGCATCACTCCTAATGGTTAAGTTGGCCGCCAGCTCATCTCTTTCTTAGCAAATGCCGTCATTATGAAGATGAGCGCTTTCCGGCTTGGGTTACTCTGGGTGCTGTGACAAAGTGAATTCAGGCCTCTGTAGCGACCTCTGCTCCCCAGAAAGGTGATGGGACCCTGTCCTGGGAGGAGGCAGACATCCAGCGATAGACCTCTCTGCTCTGAGTCACTGGTGTCTCTGTGACCAGCTCCCAGGGCAGCCAACCGAGATGTTGAGCTTCGGAGGTGCAAAAAGTGGGTACAGAATTAGCCTCTAGATTACAGTTGAGTGTTGATCATTCAAGAGGGATCCAAGCAGGCCTGGAGATCTCCTGTCCATGGATTAAAACCTTCCCAGATAAAGCGTAAGTGAGATTGAAAGTAAAAAGGATCAGGTCTTTGTAGAGCTTTCCAGCAGCCTCTCCACCATTCAGTCCTGGATTCTTCCAAAAAGCTCTTTCTCCCCAGCATCACCAGGAATTAGCTACACGGATTCGGGTGACATGAGAGCCAGCCGTTCACAAAGATGAATACAGTGTAGATTGGGGCCATTTGATTATACAGTTCTCCTCTAACAATGCGTGTGCAAAGACTCAAATATACCTACATTCCCTACCAGTCTGTCCCTTAAGGTTGAATGTGGGTCATTTATCCTGAGGAATATTTAACCCAGTCTGGCCATAGCTCACAGTCTCCAAAACCACCCTGTGACACTGGCACTACCCTCATGCAGGCCGTGGGGAGGATGACTGATTGTGGGAGGGGACGTCTTCCCCTCTCTGTTGTGGGTGAGCCCTGTGATTCAGTGAGGATGACCATATGGAGAAGCGGGTGTGGACTGGAGCTGGGAAAGCTGTTTTGCCATCTGAGTCATCCGAGAGCCTTCTGGCTCATAACTCTAGAATGGGGCTGTGTATGGGGGATGAATTTGGAGATCAGTGTTTCTTAAACTTTTTAAGACTGAGGAACACCAAACAATTTTTTTATGGGGAACACCAAAGATAATAGTAAATAAATGGTCAATAAGGTCATGTATTTGGCCAGGAGGGAGGGTAGAGGGGCTGACTGTCTGGCTAGGAGCGGGTATTGGGGCACAAGATACAGAGAATCCTCGAGAAAGTGATCCGTGCCCCGTGCTACAGAGGAAAGCGAAAATCCTCCAGGGCCTCTGCCAATCTGCCCTGGAGGAAAATTCCTTCCCGATCCTAAATATGGTGATCAGCTGAACCCTGAGCATGTGGGCAAGACTCACCAGCCAGACACACGGGAAAAAGTTCTTTCTAGTAACTCCTATGATCCCTCCATTGACCTATTTACCACTGATAGTGAAAGGTCAATTAGTTACCAAGATCATGTTATCTCATCAAACCATCCTCTTCATAAATCCATCTAGTTTAATCTTGAAGCCAGATAGATTTTTTGCCCTCACTACTTCCCTTGGAAGGCTGTTCCAGAACTTCACTCCTCTAATGGTTAGAAACCTTCATCTAATTTTGAGTCTACACTTCCCGGTAGCCAGTTTATATCCATTTGTTCTTGTGTCTACATTGTTACTGAGCTTAAATAATTCCTCTCCCTCCCTGGTATTTATCCCTCTAATATATTTTAAAAGTGCAATCATGTCCCCCCTCAGCCTTCTTTTGGCTAAGGTAAACAAGCCAAGCTCTTTGAGTCTCGTTTCATAAGACAGGTTTTCCATTCCTCGGATCATCCTAGTGGCCCTTTGTACCTGTTCCAGTTTGAATTCATCCTTCTTAAACATGGGAGACCAGAACTGCACACAGTATTCCAAATGAGGTCTCACCAATGACTTGTATAATGGCACTAACACCTCCTTATCCCTACTGGAAATACCTCGCCTAATACATCCCAAGACCGTATTAGCCTTTTTCACAGTCATGTCATATTGGCAGCTCATAGTCATCCTGTGATCAACCAGGACTCCTAGGTCCTTCTCCTCTACTGTCACTTCCAACTAATGTGTCCCCAGCTTATAACTAACATTCTTGTTTTCTTGTTATTAATCCCTAAATGCATAACCTTACACTTCTCACTATTAAATTTCATCCTACTGATATTACTCCAATTTACAAGATCATCCAGATCTTCCTGTATGATATCCCGATCTTTTTCTGAATTGGCAATACCTCCCAACTTTGGGTCATCCGCAAACTTTATTAGCACACTCCCACTGTTGGTGCCAAGGTCAGTAATAAAAAGGTTAAATAAGATTGGTCCCAAAACTGATCCCTGAGGAACTCTGCTAGTAACCTCCCTCCAGCCTGACAGTTCACCTTTCAGTATGGCCCGCTGTAGTCTCCCCTTTAACCAGTTATGGTATGTGTACACTACCACCCTAGTTCGAACTAGGGTGGTTAATGTAGGCAACCGAAGTTGCAAATGAAGCCCGGGATTTGAATTTCCCGGGCTTGATTTGCATCTTGCTGGGCGCTGCTATTTTTAAATCCCCGCTAGTTCGGACTCCGTGCCCACGGCTACACGCAGCACGGAGTAGGTAGTTCTTTAACCAGTTGCTTATCCACCTCTCAATTTTCATATTGATCCCCATCTTTTACAATTTAACCAATAATTCCCCATGTGGTACTGTATCAAATGCTTTACTGAAATCGAGGTAGATTAGATCTACTGCATTTCCTTTATCTAACAAATCTGTTACTTTCTCAAAGAAGATCAGGTTGGTTTGGCATGATCTACCTTTTGTAAAACCATGTTGTAATTTGTCCCAATTGCTATTAACCTCAATGTCCCTAACTACTTTCTCCTTCAAAAATTTTTTCAAGACCTTGCATACTACAGATGTCAAACTAACAGACCTTTAATTACCTGGGTCACTTTTTTTCCCTTTCTTAAAAATAGGAACTATATTAGCAATTCTCCAGTCAAATGGTACAATCCCTGAATTTAGAGATTCATTACAATTTTTTGCTAATGGACTTGCAATTTCATGTGCCAGTTCCTTTAATATTCTTGGATGAAGATTATCTGGGCCCCCCGCTTTACTCCCATTAAGCTGTTCGAGTTTGGCTTTTACCTCAGATATGGTAATATCTACCTCCATATCCTTAGTCCCATTTGTTCTGTTGCCATTATCCCTAAACTCTTCATTAGCCTCATTAAAGACTGAAGCAAAGTATTTTTTAGATATTGGGCCATGCCTAGATTATCCTTAACCTCCACTCCATCCTCAGGGTATGTCTACACTACCCCACTAGTTCGAACTAGCGGGGTAATGTATGCATACCAAACTTGCTAATGAAGCCCGGGATTTGAATTTCCCGGGCTTCATTAGCATAAAGCCGGCACCGCCATTTTTAAAAGCCGGCTAGTGCGAACCCCGTGCCGCGCAGTTACACGCGGCACGGGCTAGATAGTTCGAACTAGCTAGCTATTCCGAACTATCTGTACGCCTCGTGGAACGAGGCGTACAGATAGTTCGGAATGGCTACGTAGTTTTGTTACGTAGGCTCCTTCATTTTGTTACGTAGGCTCCTCGCATTAGTGCACAAACATCTTAATATTTGCTGTTTGGCCTCAACTCACATTCTTTACCCAATTTGGCATGGACATTGTACCTCCAATATGATCTATTAGACTAGTATCCACTCTGCCCTTCCTCCTTATGTCCACTCTCCTACCCCCGGCTATATCCTTTCTTACTTTGTTTTCCTCCCTCTCAATGCTAAAATCTGGCGTAGAGATTACCTGGACATCTCCCAACCGTCTCCCCCAAATTCTTAGTTTAAAGCTCTCTTAATCAGTTGTGCCAGCCTCCATCCTAGAAGTCTGTTTCCTTCCCTACTTAGGTGAAGTCCATCCCAAGAGAACAGTCCTCTGTCCGTGAATGCCTCCCAGTGGCCATACATCTCAAAGCCCTCCTTATAGCACCACTGCCTGAGCCATCTATTGATCATCATAATCCTGTCACATCTTAGTTGCCCTTCTCTAGGAACAGGCAGAATCCCACTGAAGATCATCTGAGCCTCGATTTCCTTAAGCATCCTCCCCAACCTGGCATAGTCTCCCTTGATTCGTTCCAGCGAGAATCTAGCCACATCATTTGTTCCTACATGAAGGATGATCAATGGATTCTTTCCCACTCCCTTTAGGATCCTCTTCAACCTCAGTTCCACATCCCGTATCTTAGCACCTGGCAGACAGCACACCCTTCTATTATCTGGATCAGCTCTGGTTACAGGCCTATCTATTCTTCTCAATGAGGAGTCCCCAATCATGTAGACCTGCCTTTTCCTGGTGACATTGTGATTCTCTGGTCTATCTCTCGTTTCCTCTGGCTGCAAATCCTTTCCATTCCTATTTTCCTTTGTAATCCTCTTCAACCCATCCTGTGTCCTCCTGGTGCTCATTATTGGTTTTATCTCCATCTACTCTTCCCCTTTATCTATGGGACTAACCACTCTTCTCTTCGGGTATGTCTACACTACAAAGTTAGTTTGAACTAACGGACGTTAGTTCGAACTAACTTTCATAGGCGCTACACTAGCGCTCCGTTAGTTCGAACTTAATTCAAACTAACGGAGCGCTTAGTTCAAACTAGGTAATCCTCATTCCACGAGAATTAAGCCTAGTTCGAACTTACTAGTTCGAATTAAGGGCTGTGTAGACCCTTAATTCGAACTAGTGGGAGGCTAGCCCTCCCCAGGTTTCCC